AATAGATCCTAGCCACACCTCGCTTGTCGACGGAAGTGTTTCCCCTCGAGGCCAGGTTGTCGCATCTCCTGGCCCGGTCCAATCCTGATAAATATCAAAACGACAATGTTGGCCAGTTATGATCTCAAACATCACTGCCCCAAATTGTCCAATGTCGGTCAGAATAGAATAGCCGTATCTATCGCAGCCGTCCAAGTCCCAGTCGGGATCCATCAACGAGGATTCGGAGAAGTCAATAAGCCTGATACCATCATATCGTCATAAACGATATTATCCAGCCGGAAGTCACATATGAGAATACGTTTAGAATGTGTATAGGCCATGACACACGCTAATTGAAGTAACCAGGAGAGCTGACGCGCCCTTGTCGGCCGGAAATGGACCAAATACTTGCGAAGGTCGCCAACCATCAAGGGCATCTGGATCGAGGGATCTTCCGAGTCGACGTTATAACAGGGTATGATCCCAGGATGGTCGCCCAGCCTCTTGTATATAGCCTTTTCATGCCGAAAAGACTTGATGGCAACGGCGAGCTCGTCGTAGGAGTCGCCTGCATCAGCGTTCAATATTCTATCGTTAACTGGCACTCCGTCGATTTCAAACACCTTGGATATCCGAGGGATTTTGAGGGCGTATCCTTCTCGATTGACGACAATGCCCGCACCGCCCACTCCAATGACCTCCTCTTGCACAATTGTGCCGTCCAGATATAGGTAATTTGCGATGTGCGAAGTCATGGATGGTCAAGTATGTAGGTCGTATTTGACACGTAGTATTCAAGGCCAAGGTGTTTGACGGGGCGCGTAAAGAGGGCTAGACGGGTTCGGATTTTCGTGTCATCAATAGTCTAGATTCTGACGGATGAAGACTGGAATGTGGAGGTGGCAAAAATCTCGATCACAAAATGTCTAGATACAGATTTAATGGGTTGAGAGGTTTCTGGTGAGGTTGTTCTTTGCCATTGGCGCAGTCCAGATTTCCTGCTTGAGCGAATAGGTGATTTTGGTCTGTTTGTCTTTGTTTCGCCTCTTCACCACCTGCCTTCTGCTACCCAGGTTCGGTGCTGGCTACAACATGCATATTAGACCGCGTCTTCTACAGCCTAGCGGGAGACAAGATGCGGCGGTCGTAATGGTGGTGATACTGCATCTGTCGATGGTGACATGGTGGCTGCCGGAGTGGCGAGTGACCTGGATTCCGGCGGAAAAGGCCAATTCGCGAATCGTTCAACCGTGAGATGATTCGCTCTTGGGATGGACTTTCCTCACTCACCATCGTATTAGGATGCTATCAGCGCAGCCTTGTCGGAATGCGGCTTGTCGGAATGACTCGGGTGCTTCAAAGGATCCTGGTACGCGTGCACCGAGTCCAGCAGCCCTGCAAATCCGACTGCGGTTTAGGTAAGCACGACGAATCTAAAACTGGCGACAATCATGGCACAGATCCACGAGCTTCATTCACAACCTCACCACGCAATGATCCGATTTGTTCTTGCTCCAAAGGCGGCTTGAACCTCAAGGCCCTGTCCGTCGTCGAGACCGCGAACCGCGGGACATTATGCCATGGGATACGTACGTCGATGCGTACAAAATTTAACCGGGACACGTCAACTGCACCAAAGACCCCAACGTCGTTCGTTGCTCCTCGCACGCTCGCGCTAGGCACGGACTGCCAGTCTTGATCCGAGATTGTGGCTCTGTTTTTCGCCGTGCTGGAGCTGAGTGGACGCTTTTCTGGCGAATGCAGATGTTTGACGCTGCTTCTAACAGCATACCTATCCTGCGGATATTGCATAAGCCTCAAAAAGTTTGATGTAGGCCAGGGTGTGTTGGTCATTCAAGTGGACGCGAACGAAACCTCAAGTCGGCTTAACAGGACTGCTCAGAGACAACGCACAATGAGAGACAGGCTAGGGCTAAAGCATAATGGCCTTGTCGAGGGAACGCACTCAGAAGACAAGAGGGTCTTGAAGGGAGCTTTTCGCTGAACAAATAAATGACGACAGAAGATGGAACCCCTGCCTTGGAGTCATCTGAAGGAGACAGTTTTGACCACTCTCATCCAAATCAATGGCCTCGGGAAAGGGTAGCCACCGCCCTCCTTAGTTGCTTGCGCCACCAACCACCTGTCAGGAAACCAACTGCCGGATGCATGAATGCACGATTCTTCCGTTGACCTCTATGGTTTCAAGGGTTTTGGATCAGTTCCCAGGCGCCTGATCCCATGGAGTTCCCTTTACCGTGAGAAAAAAAGCGACTGGGCAGGTAAGAAAGGCTCCTCAAATGCTTTCAGGCCTGGGTGCAAATACAGGGATGAGCTGGCACCACTTCTCGAAGCAACCCCCTACGCAAGAGTCTACCGAGCACACCAGCTGTTATCGTCTCTCTCGACTTTGACACAAGCAGGGTGGACACAGACCCATAACCTTGTAACCCTGTGTACCTTCCCAGCACTACCCGCTCCGTGACTCCTCCTTTCCGCATCACAGCGAGTGCATCTTGTCTGTGCCTCCGACCCTAGGAGCCATCAGGGTCGCCTCAAGCATTGGTGGGTCTCGTTTAACAGAGAGTTGTGGCCATTGCCATTGATCGAAACTGCTGATCCGCAGTTGTCCTACTCTCTGCTCTCCTTGGGGCCGATGGTGGTATTGCTTAACTCCTAGCCTAGGTCCTAGCGTCAACAGCAACAACAGAGTCGTCGGGCTTCACGAGAGGTAGGTGGCGGGCCTTCACCCCATAACATGAGCAACATTTGAACATTTATTGAGACTGCTTGCCACCTCGACTGATCAATTGCTCCGAAGACTTTGCACTGGGGGAGATGCTTTGTTGCCGGGTGAAAATCTGTGGTATTCTCTCACAAGATGGTGACAATGATGCTTTCTTCCCTTCGGCAGGCTTGTCCCGCGTTCAAGAATCCTTGGATCCTGAGTTCGAACCCTGTCCCGCTCACCTTATTGGAAGCCATGTTTACCTAACCTGTCAAGTAATAGGCATAACCTTTGCGAAACTGAAAGCATTCCAGCGGAGACACCGTTGGCGCAAGCGATAATGAAAGACTCCTCCTCCTCCAGCCACCACTCCGGAAACTTTGCGGAGCCTCTACATCCTTTTCGCGATTGGATGGGCATGCTTGTTCTCCCCTTAACACGTCAGACTGCCTACCTGTCGACTGGACCATTGTACTCCAGATACACATCTGACAGGCACCACGATGTCTCGAACCCGTTCCCCACCTCAACTACCGAGCTTGTACAGTCAGCCTGGAACGACTATCAGAAGCGAGTCTGCGCTTTGGCAACATGTGCTGGCGATATTCCAATTGCGCCGGACCAGACTTTGACAAATTTGCGGTGGATGCAGCAGAGATCAGCCCATACATACCCACTCAAGCGGAGCTGCTAAAGCTGAAGAGCCCAAGATGGGCAAGAATACAGCGCCAGCTCAAGATGCGACCATAAATACTCACATCTTAGTCATACCCATCGCTTCACACGTTGCATATGCCTTGACGGTGTATGGCATCTCGTTGGAACCACGGAACACGCAGATGATGTCGACATGGCCAACCCGTGCAGGCTTAGGTGAACGCTGATCAAGCGTGCTCCATGGTCATCAAGGGATGGGCTAGTGCAAGAAAGCTGGCATGTTGCGACAGGCTAGGATCTATCCTTGTGTTTATCCTCCTGCCTCGCGGCAGGATTGTTGTCAACGCCTGATTTCTCTCCTGTGTCTTTGCGCCGCCGACTCCCACGTTCAGCAGAGGCACCCATTCAACCGCGGAGATATCCTGACGGGAGATAGGCTGTAGATCCTCCACTCCAAACATCAGTGTCGCTGGCCACTTTGGACAACTGGAACTGCGATGGCGAGGAGAGGAGGATGGTCTGTCGGCCAGACATCTCAGAAGGATCACCTGTTTTGAGCCGATTCGTTGTCGGATAGGCACGCTCACTCCAGCCGGCGGGATTGACTTGGTCGAATTCCGTGGCGAGGCTGAACACATTCATTGTGTCAATTCCTCGTAACGTGAGATGCTCACGACGCCGATCTCTTGGGGTAGCATTTGCCTCTGCTGGTGAGAGAATTTCCCCGTCTCACCCATTGTTATTCTCTTCCCTAGGACGACGGTCGCTGGTGGCTGCTGCAAGTCGAGTAGCGTAGGCCCCAGGGCCCTTAGTGGCTCTGTCGACTTTGTATATGCGGAAGCGTCAGTGCGGATGAGCGGAGCCAGTCCAACCGAACTGCCACTGTAGCAGGCGAGGATTATTTTCTTCGGCCCGTGGATTCGTGGATTCGTCGACTAGGCGGAGCTGGCCAATCTAGGGGAATCATTCTTCCCTGTTCTTCACGCCATCCCGCCCCAAATCCGGTGAAGCAGGCGGCAAATCCAGGTGTGATTCGGGCAACGTGCAATCCGACTGGCAAAGGCGAAATACTCAGCTATCCGACGGTACAGAATCTCTCCTGGGTGCCTGGCACCCTGAATCTCTCTCCCCTGCGTTCTGCAGGTGCTGAGTAATGGTGACATGGCCCAGTCTCGCCCGCAATGCTCCATATCATCGGCGTCCGTGCAGGATATTAAGTCATCGATCGCTTACGGCACCACGGCTTTATGTAAAGTCGATACTCCGCAGGACTCGGATTTCTAGAAACCTCTTTCCACAGTGACACCATTGCATGTACTGTCGACGGCGAACCTGTCATTGCCCATGGAGACCCGACGCCATGCCGCAGGCCTTTCGGGCGACCAAATACGAAAGAAACGGATGCGCATCACCTTTAGTTGCACCAACTGTCGCCACAGCAAACAGAAGGTTGGTTTGAAGGACCCTCCTAGTACATATCAGTCGCTCGTGGGGACTGACCAGAGCGAATAGTGCAATAGGGAAACGCCTTGCATGACCTGCGTGCTCCGAGGAAAGCAAGATAGTTGTTTCTATGGAGATGCAATTCCGGGGTGAGTCGTTTTCCTTCTGTGGTTTCCTCGGTTGTTGATTCATGACCAGTCGCTCTCAAAAAGCCGCCGAGGAACCGTATGTCGAAGCATTTTCCAAGGCGCCTGGTTTCGTTGTGCAAGAATATCACTCTACGAAGGAAGAGACATGGAGCCCTGATCTTGCATGTTTCGGCTATTCCAACGTCAACGTGCATAACTCGCTGGGCATTGTCAAGAAACTAGAGGACCTAGAGCTGGGCAGCAGTCCTCGACCGTCGCAGAAGCAGAAAAATGTGACGCTGTGCCAGGCGGCCTACGAGATCTACAAGTCTGTGCTGAAGCTCCTGCCATGTTCAGCTTGTGTGAGAGACCTGGTCAATGTCTTCTTCGACGAGGTAAACTGGCAGTATACCATCCTAGATAGAAACCATTTCACGACCAAACTGGAGGATTACTACCATCATCACACCTCGCCCCTTTATCAGGCAGAAGGCACATTTCCCTCGGAAAGGCTGGTGTTTTCAGCTCTCCTCTTTCAGGTCCTGGTGTGCGCCTTACAGTTCCTCCCGGCTGGCCACTCTGAGAACCTCCACACCTTCTGTATCAAAGGGATTGCTGTGGAAGGAGATGGACCGTCAGACGATCCTGCAATGCGGCTTTTGGGCCTGCTTCCAAAAGATGTCATCAACTTGGATTATATAGCAGCACAGCTTCTGCGCACGGCATGGCTCAAGAATCGGGGAATGATTGTCGAATCATGGCATGTCGTCGCGCAAGCGACCATGAATGCGCAAGAGATAGGTCTCCACCGCGACGACGGCAAACTATACGCCAGTGATGCAGAGAGTGCATGTGAGGAGCTGTGGAACATGGTGCTACGGCGTCGTCTGATGGTGAACCTTTACCTCTGGGACAGGTGAGTTGGCTGACAGCATACGCTGATGCCCAGTAAATGTGTGACTAACGGCAAACTGCAGTCAAATGGGTATGGTTTTGGGCAAGCCACTCAATTTCAAGACCAATGACTATACCATTGTTCCACCCACCGACTGCGACATCCCAAGAAACCGCAATTCCTCAGCCCCGTTCCAAAGAAGTGACTACGAGAAACCGAATACATTTACAGTGCGATTGCTCGAGTACCATATACATAAGCACCTCCCACAGATCCGGGAATTGGAGCTGGAAGGGCCGTATCCGCGAGATTATGGCAAGGTGGAACGTCTACACCAAGGAGCCCTGGAGTATATCGCCAGCATCCCCGCCATTTACCGATTCGAAAACCCAGACAGGTCCTTTGATGGAGAGTTCCCGATGCTGGCATCACAACGGGAATTCTTCTGTGCGACCATTTGGCTCTTCATCCTCCTGCTTCACCGGCCGTATATCTTTTCAATCTCCAAGAGCCGCACCGAGATCTTGAAAGCCGCCATCCACATGTTGGATGCCCAGCAGCGATTTTTCGACTCTCTATCTCTCCATCACTACAAAATGTTCACACTCGCCTATCTGAGCGTGGAGCCATGCGTCTCGGTGTTGGCTGTCTTGATTGCCTTTCCGCACGAAAATGCACAGTTGGTCCCAGAAGCATTCAGATGCATACGGGAGTCGCTTTTCAGACTGAATACGATCCGCAACACAAATAAAGTTGCTGGCCAGGGTGCCGATGTCATTCAGAATCTCCTCCTGCGAGCGGAGAAGAACCAACCATCGCCGTTGCCGACTTCAAAGTCTAGCAGTCCGAGATCAGACGCTCACTCATCGGAACTATTTGTAACGCCCGGCTCGCATCCTGGCATTTCACTTTATCCTGTGGCAGGACAGCAGCAGCAACAACAACAACAACAACCACAACAACCTGCTTTATTCTGCGGCAATTCATCCTTTGGCGATATGTCTGACTGGAGTACGCCCCTTCAGCAAACGCAGACATCAGCCCCACCAGCCAGCTCCAGTTATGCGTTCGATGGGACCCCCTTTCGACCAGTCGCGGATCTGACGTATAATGACCTGGCCATTGTGCAGCCGTTTTCAATGTCGGAAGATAATTTTGACGGCGGGCTTGGAACTGGATTCGCTGACAGCGGCGTTGCGAGTGAGGTGGCGCAGCAATTTCGTGGTGACTTTGGCGAGGGCTCGTTCTGGAGTTTCATGAATAGAGGAGGCACTACTTAAAGAAGGAGCATGAGCTTGCGTGAGCTGAAAAATCACGGCTCCATCAGAGGACAGGCCGTCCCGGTCAACTTGTGAGACAATCGGCCTGGTGTTTGCGATACTGTAGCAGGTGGATGGAATATTGGTTCCGAGACACTCGTCACCTGCAACACCATGGGGTTCAGTGACTCTGCCGTGAGTTTCCGGCCACTTCCAGTATAGAGCTTCCTTCCGATACAAGAAGAGCGGTTCAGAACTAGAGAAGCCACATTCGGAAGAGGTGGTTGGGCGTGATGGGTTAAAACTCATCCCTACACTTTCCACGTGCCTGGAGCTCTCAACTGCTATATGCTACTTTGAAGCAAGGACCAACCATATCAGACCAAATCCCACTCAAATTCCTCCCTCATCACGGGGACAAAGGAGTCTCTCATTATACTGAGTCGAAGTTCGAACCAGTGGTCCGAGTAGATCGGGTGGGGGGTTGCCACGAGGCTGAGGTGCCCCTGAACCACTGGTCTAAGCTCTACACATGAGCCATGTGCCAGTAGCTACTCAATTCCTCCCCCTTCCCAGCCACGTTGCTACGACACTATCCACTCTCCCCGTGAGTATCCTCCTGCTGTGGGCTCCGAGGGCCCATGTGGTCCATGTGTAGCATTCCCACTGCCTTTGTGAAAAAACGGTGGTTGGACAAGTGGCGTTTCGCTTAGGCACGGTGAGCTCTGTCTGACCTTGCCTTTTTCTCTCCGAAACAGGGCCGTTGATCGATGGAGACGTGAGTTGTGGGACAAGAGACCAAATGGGTTTAGACGAGGTGAGTGTCTTTTCATGACTGAGAAACTGTGCGGGGGCCTAGACGCATCGTTGATCATGCTGTCGGGTCAATCGGTCAAATCCGGCACATGCAACAAGTCACTGCAAGTACAGTTTTTTTGAACAGATTTCGTCCCTTTAACCATTGTGGGCGATGGTCGGTGCAGATCTTGGCTGGCGGGAATGTTTTCCTGCTCCAATAATACTCTCTGCCACCAGCTAGCTGGTAGCAGCTGGGACCTTGTCAAGCTTGTCAAGCTTGTCTAGAAACAGAAACTGTACGAAGCTGGCAAAAGCTGGGATCAGGCCTCTTTCTGCTTCTCCCACTTCCTCGTCTGCCCCTCTATGCACTCCACATCGGCGGGAATTTTTCATCTTATCTGATAATAATTATCTGATAAGATTGGTCGCCCAAGACGCCATATGGGTCCTTTTGCGTTTTTTTCTTCACATCACCACCCTCGTCGTCGTGCTTCTGTGGCCCTCAGCAGCAACATCATCTGATCCCGCCGGTGTCGGCGCTGGAGAGCTTGACGATCCTAAGCTTATGTCGCCATGGGCGATGCCAGAATAGGCTTGAACAAACTTGTTTTCCTGCAAGCCTCCTACGTTGACTCTTGTGTGTGAATGTCAGGCTGGCTGGACTGGGCAAGTTGGAACGACCGAATGGTGCCTATCCGGGTAGGCCGCCATCATGTCGGCTGGGAGGATACACACAGGCGGACTTCGGGAAGCGAAGAGACAAGAGAGAAAAAAATCTCTGCTTCGTACTCTATTCACCTCGATACTTCCGACTAACAGCTTCTTCTCCCAAGCTATGACTCTGGAAAATGCTTGTGGCTAGACTTGTACGGTAAGGCTTCATCCATCTTTGTTCTTGGACCTTGACAGTCCCTTGTGCTCGACTTTCAGCACGCCTTCATGTTTGCATTAGTCAAACCGATCGCGCAATGGAGCGGTCAGGAATACACCTGGAGCTTCCCAGAGGAAACTTGGTTTCCCGAGGGTTGATGGAGTGAGCTGTTGGGAAGACAAAAAGGCACATATACTTCTTGTCTGCTCCCCCTCGTGCATGTCGCTTTTCTCTCTTCCCATCCCTCAACTGTCTCTCGTTTCCATAACCCACTTGTTTGGTCATAGTATTCTTCATCCATCTCGATGGCGCCCAAAAGTCTTGTCCTTGCAGCTCTGGCTGCTGCTGCTACTACTGTCCTGGCCCAGACCCCCGCAGATCTGGTCACAGTCCTCAACTCCACCGAAGGAACCGCCACCATCAGTGAAGTCGTGGCAGAGGTCCCTGGATTCCTCGAGGCTATTGCTGGAAAGACCAACATTACCTTTCTCGCGCCAAACGACACCGCCATTGCCGAGTTCCTGAAAACTCCCGAGGGACAGGCACTTGAGAGCGCTGGCGAGAGCGCTGGCGAGGACTACCTCCTGAATCTATTGCTCTACCATGTGATTGATGGGGGGTACGACAACATCACAGACTACCAGGTCGTCCACACACTGTTGACTTCGCACGACTATACCAGTGTGACGGGCGGGCAGAACGTCGCTTTCTACTACGATGATGACGAGGATGTCGTTGGCTTCTATAGCGGTTTGGACCACGACCCCGAGGGCGCTGCGACGCCAATCCCTTTCGCTCAAGGATGGATCTATGTCATCAACGGCGTGCTGACCATCCCCCCAACTCTCTCCGTCACTGTGACCTCGGGCGACTTTAACGGCAGCTCCTATGTCGCCGCCCTGAACAAGACTGGTCTGACGGAAGAAATTGATCAGCTGCACGATGCGACCTATTTCATTCCTATCAATGAGGGTTTCGATGCCGTCGACCACGCTCTCTCAGAGCTGAGCAACGAGAAACTGGCTGAAGTGCTCAAATACCATGTGGTGGCCGGCAAAGTCTGGCACTTTGACGACTTCGAGAACAACACGCAATTGACCACGCTCTCGGGCAAGGAATTGACAGTCTCATCTACCGCCGAAGGAGAATGGTTCATCAACAACGCCGGCGTCAACTATGTCGACCTTGCTGTCTCTGAAGGTGTCGTTATCTTCATCGACAATGTGCTCAACCCCGATGCTCCTTGGGACCCGCCCGTCAATGGCACTGACGATGGTGTGCCCGCATGGCCACTCAATGAGGGCACTAGCACGGCAACAGCTAGCAGCACTGTAGCCACTGCCACCTACACTGGTCTGGCTAGTGCACCATTGAAGACTGGTGCGGCTGGTGCGGCTGCCTTGGTCGGTGGAGCTGCGTTGGCCCTGTTGCTCTAGATGATTCGAAAAGAGAAACCCATAGATGGCTATAATAGAAATAGGGTGCTGTGAGGGGGAGAGGAAAGGAAGGGGAGGGAGACTGGATCAGAAGCAAATACTGTACATAGCTGAGAGCGATGCTCTAAGAGACCTTCGCGGCACGTGCTTTTGCGCCACCGTAGTCCAAAATAGCTGAGCCAATACTGCCGAGCATTGTCCACTTTGCGCTGGTTCAAAATCAGCCTCACATTCCATCTGATAACTTCTCACCATTTGAGCCTTGGGTGTCCCATACCGAATCTGCGATCACGAGAAGTCATCCGCTTCTGGCGCCTTTTATTTGGCCCTCGCAGTGAAAATATTTTCACGTCGGAAAGGGCGACGATGGGCAGCGCCAGCGCCAGCACCAGCGCCTGCATCCTCCCAAGAACGACAGGGGCACTGACTGACCTCTCAGGTCCCATTGAATCGTGCGATCGTGCAGATTCACCATGTGAGAGCGATTGATGGACGTTGAGGCCAAGAGGCGCCAGAGAATTAGCCTCGTTGACATGCCCTGCAGCGTGGTCACGGCTTTACAAAGATCAGCTCACTCTTCGCGAACGCTTGCTGCCTTGATCGGACACATCCGGGACCCTTTCTCCTTCCCAGTCCGGCCTCTGTGTCGTTGATCTCCTCGGACAAGGCGTTTCCCTCGCAGTTGTGCTAAAGGCTATACACCGAATACCTTGGGGCTTCAGGTTGGGAGGCACAAACCAACCCCGTTTCGAAGGAAGTCGCCTTGGAGGCACGAGATATTGTCCTGTCTGACCTCGACTATTCGAAAGAGAGATGGAGTTTTGCAGGGTGCCATGTGCGGAGAGACCGGATGTCATACCTACCACTACCAGTACATGACGGTACCCACCATGCAGGGGATACTCTCTCCGTTCTGGGAACGATAAATGGCTTCTCCAATCGCTGCGAATCACCAACAACTTTTCATTCTCGCCCTGCGGCCATCAGCTGGATCATGAGAGGACGATCCACAGCGTCTCGATGCACAGCAGCTAGGTTCTGCCACGGAGAAAGAGAGAGTGTTCTAGTTACGCGTGTGGAGACTCTGGCCTAGAATTCTGGCGGGATGGTAACTACCCACTGATGCTGGCGACAGCAGGGTCGAGTCAGAGACTGCCTTGTGAGGACGATCAAATTCTATCGCTCGACCAGTTTGATGGCTTCATGCACACTCGGCAGCTTGTATCACCTGGACTGCGATCGACTGCAACTCTGAAAAGGTTCTGTCTATTCAAGAAGGAGGAGAGTCTCGTCGAGACATGCTCTTATGCGTTGTGGTACGTTTAACCCCTCTATTCGGTAGCCCTACGTGGGACAAGATATTGAACATATGCAAGAGACAAATGTGGCCGATATCGGTCAGGTTGCAAATGCTCCCCTGTAGCACTTGGTCCCTCATGCATCGTCGCATTCCAGACCTCTGAAGCAAAGCAGATCTACATGACGCTTGATCCCGGACTGGAAAAGCTTGGACTCTAAGGTTCTGAGACTTCCCTTGAAAACTTTGACCGACATAAGGCATCAGTGACCGAGGAGCCCACCGACCAAGTGGTTCGGTGGGATGGAAGACTTGGCTTGTCGACGCTTGTCACGCTTGTCACACTTGTTAAGTTGAACGTCCTGTCGGCATCACGCTAAACCAGAAGCGAGTTTTTATCTGATAAGATTATCAGAAAATTTTCGCTGATAATCTTTGAAGATTGGATCGGACATGTGAGGAGCGGCTCCACCACGACCACTCACAATTGCCCGATGTGGCACCCATCTGGTATGCTTTGGTATATCCCAGTCCTTTGACATGTTGTCGGGATCGAGAGGTCTGGAGTGGCCCTCCAGACCCAGGGCACCAGGGCCTTTGGCTGTGTCCACTCGATGTCGGTTTGCAGTATTGTCAGGTGCTCCCCAATGCATTTGGCCATCCACTCAGGTCGTTTGCAAAAGAGACGAGGTCCTGGATTGGGCTATAAATCCAGGTATCTAGCCAGCATGTCTCCTTACTGCCCTGGTTGTGACCCCTTCAATACTCCTATATGCTTTTTCCTGGACAGCCTTGAACATGAAGACGCTAAATACAGGGCTTTTACTATGCAGCCTCGCACTTGGGGCCACAGCCAGCAAGACGGCCTGTGTTGATGGCATTCGCACTGCCCTTGATTACCTCGCTTTCAATATCACCGATACTGACTACTATATCAAGTCATGCACCAACAAACTGGTGGTGACATCCATGTGGGCTACCGCAAAGCTCCTTTGCACTCGCGAGGAAATTACAGCTGGCGAAAAATTCTATGAGCCCTACTGTGTGGAATATGGCGGTGTCCAACTCGTCCACTATGATGAGGTGGCCCCTATGCTCACCGACGAATACATCAAGTCTCTGCCGGTTGCCCAATACAGCGATGTCGAGGCCCTCACGATCTTCGACACGCCCGTCGTGGTTTCCAAGACCTTCTGGAAGATTGCTAAAGACACTACCGTACGTTTTTGATTCCCTGCTGTCCTGTTTATGCTTGAATCTGGGTACTGATGAGGCACAGACCATTTTCGATCTTGAATACATCCTCCATGAAAGATACGGGTGCGTACCCTCTCCCTGCCCAATATTATAAAGTGTTCAGGATGTGTGTTAAACTATTCTAGGTGGTCCATGTATGGGTTCTGGGGAGGCTTACTTCTCATCGGCATGATCAACCGTCTCATAACACATGTCTCTCAATCTCGTCGCTTGAAGGCCAAGGACGATGTCGAGGGAGGAGAAGCGTCCTCGAGCGAGAAAAAGTCTCGTTCGGGACCTGTCGCCTGGGTCCAGTCGGCTCATCACTGGCTTAGGGCACAGATCATCATTCCAGCGACATTTGGCTCCCACCACAACCGTCCCTTGTTGTGGTCCACGATACCAACACGCATGGAAACGATAGTTCTGGTCTCCTTCTACATCATGACCTTCATCTTGTGCTGCGTCGGCTACTACATCACTTCCCCCAACCTCTAGTATGTTCTCGGAAGCTATCCTCAAGAACAAATGCTGACGGAATTCCAGCTATACCAAGTCTCAACAGGCCTGGCGTTATATTTCCGATCGCACCGGCATCATTTCCTACGCAATGTTGCCCTGGCTGTGGTTGTTCGCCGGAAGAAACAACATCTTCTTGTGGCTGACTGGCTGGAGTTTTTCGACCTTCAACATCTTTCACAGACACATTGCTCGCGCCGCTACAATCCTGGCGATTGTCCACTCGGTAGGGTGGTCGGTCTTGGAGGGCGGGTGTATGTTCTATTCACCGTTTTCAACCCTTGGAGCGGCATGCTAATTTTTGTATAGTCGGCTACTTTGCCGAATCGTGGCACGAACAGTACTGGTACATGGGAGGAATGGTAAGCGCTCGACGTCTCAACTTAGTTGCTATCTATTGCTGTACTAACGCAAATGGCAGGCCACAATCACAATGTCCTTGCTGCTGCTCTTCTCTTTCATGTGGTTCCGCGTCAGGTCGTATGAAATTTTCCTCCTCATCCACATCGGACTCTCCATAGCGACAATCATCGGCTTGTTTTAGTAAGTGTCCAGCCTTCTCAGCCCTTTGCGCTTCACTAGCTAACCGCTCCAATCTAGTCACACTAAAATATTCGACGGAGAATACGACGGCTACCTGTGGCCGTTGGTGGCCATATGGTGTTTTGATCGTGGAGCACGTCTCGTTCGCTGGGCATACTGCAACCTTCACCTCAAGTGGTCCCACGCTGTTGTTAGTTCTCTGGCCTCGGCCACCTACGACAAAGATGGCGACTTCATCAGACTCGAGATCGTGCCTGGATCGGGCATTCTCAAACCAGGACCTGGTCAGCACTACTACTTGTACCAGCCCATGAAGTGGAGAGGATGGGAAAACCACCCATTCACTCTGGCGTCCTATGAGACCGTCAAGGAGTCTACCCCGGCCGGTGTCGTGACGGTCCATCCTGGTGCCGGCCACGACGTGGAGACACTGGCAGCAGCCAAGGACATCGAGGTGTCTGCAACGGGCTCATCTTCTCCCACGTCCTCGAACGCAACGCCAGACCCTTCGCAGCATAGACTCGCTGTCTTCAAAGAGAAAGTCGGCAGCCAGAAACTCACCTTCCTTATCCGGCCCTTTGGCAGCTGGACGAAGCGTCTCCGTGAGGAATGCCTCAAGTCACCCACCGGAGTCATCACGCCTCATATCTTCATTGAAGGCCCATACGGCGAGCACAGCGCTTTACATACATATGAAAATGTCATCTTGGTTGTCGGCGGTACTGGAATCGCTGGGGCAATTCCTTACCTGCAAGACCACATCACGAGAGCAAGCAACAATGCACAAGCATCACGCAACGGCGGAAAGCTGGCCACGCGCACGAGGGACATCACGTTGATCTGGGCGACCAGGCAGTCCGCCATGCTCCGCAACGTGGTTGAACATGAGCTGAAGCCCATGTTTGACCGCGAGGATATCCACATCCATCTCTATGCCACATCCGCCAAGCAGGTGCGGAGCGTCAGCCCCGACGACAGCGATGATGGCCGCCCCATGACCGAGAGCAAGGAGCTTGACCTCAAGAGCACCCCTGCCACGAGCATCAGCGACAAGCTCAGCATCTCGCGCGGCCGGCCGGATATTTCCGCCACGATACGGACCATCATCAACGACGTCAACAGTGCTGGAAGTGCCGGCGGCCGCATCGCCATCTTGACCTGTGGTCCGGGCGGCATGGCCGATGAGGCCAGGGCAGCGGTTCACTCGTCGCTGAAGGAGGGCAAGCGAGGAGTCGAGTACTTTGAAGAGTCGTTTGGGTAAGTTTCCTCCATCTCTGCATGCGCTCCAGTCCTGTTTTTTTTTTTTAAAAAAAAAACCACTCCATTGTCTCTCCTTCTTTTACACTTGTCATGTACTGACTGTTTACTTAGCTGGTAATGTGCCGTACCGGCTTGACTGTCGTCGTCACCGTCCGTCACCGTTCAATGTTTGAGGAGATGTTTCTGCGTGCGAGCAGAGGACCGGCGTAAGGGATGTAGGGTAGGGAACGAGATAGAAGAGGAGGGAAGGGGATCTCACACACACACACACACACACACACACACACACACACACACACACACACACAAAAGACGTTTATTTTATATACATACACGGGAGACATTTAAAGAGACATGAGTGATGCCACTGTTGAAAGAAATTGGGGGTATTTTCTTCATCAACGCCATGCAATGCAGTGTATGTGAAACGATGAACGCTCAAGAGCACCAGATTACCAATGATTCATGGACTCATGGATTCAAATGATTGATTTAACGGAACCTTTGATCTACTTGATCTACTTGATCTACCTGTATTTGGGATTTTGGAGTGTTTTTTTTTTTTTAATTTTTTTCTCTTTTCCTTTTTTTCTTCTTTGTTTGGTGGTGTGGTGTTCCTCGGGGGTAGTGGGTGGTAGGTGATGGGTTCATTGACTCTCACACTTCCTTCTCTGGCACTCACTCACTCACCGTATGTCTGTCTCTCTCTCTCTCTCTCTCCGTTTTTCTCTCTGTGTAACGTGTGTATGTGTATGTGTATGTGTAGGTGTATGTGTATGTGTAGGCGTAGGTGTATGTGTACGTGTAGGTGTATGTGTATGTGTAGGTGTATGTGTATGTGTACCTATCCATTCGTCTCTCGCTCCCATCGCCTAGTTATAGGGAGGGAGGGGTATAGAGGCTACTCATTCGAACCAAGACTTCTCAAAATCGCAATCCCTTACTTCTTCAATCCATCCTCCTTACTCCGCGGTCTGACTCCTCGGTCCTTAGTCCCTACCCCTCGTTCCTTGTAGGTCATGTATATATATATGTACGTAGCTGTCTGTATATATATATATCTCTCTGTGTGCAGAAAGGTGTATATGCGTGTATGCGTGTATGGTGTTCAATGCGCAAACCGAAAATCTAACCGCTTATTCCCCACCTCTCGGTCCTTTTCGCCCCTCGACCTCGTTCTGGCCAGGTACTGCAACTGCTGCGTTTCGGTCATGGCGTTCCACCGCCTGTCGCGCCGCCGGTTGCGCAGCACGTAGTACGTCTTGGTGCCCAGGTAGAGGGCGATGTTGATGAGGTTGACGGCGAGGAGGACGCGGTTGCCGCGTTTGTAGCCGGGGGCGTCATCTGTTCATAGAGTCAGCACACGTATCTCTCTCTCTCTCTCTCTCTCTCTGTGTGTGATATTGGAGTCAAAGGGAAATTGACAAGAGAGGTGAATATCATTCTCTATAGGCACGGGGGAGGGCAAAAGCTCACCTTGGCGGTACACATTCGACGAAATAACCCCCCCAGCCTGCACAAACATGTTGTACATGGCCGCCGACACGGTGCGCGAGTGCACGGCATTCGAGTTGCGCGAGTTCCAGCCGACTTGGATCGGGTGGGCTAGAAGCAAATGTTTCAAACCACGTTAGTTGAACAAACTTCCCTACATTTTCCGACAATCCTGAGGAGAGAAAAAGTCTCTGCTCACCATTGGGGTAGCTCAACAAAAGCGTCGTGACGGCCCACATGGCCCATTTGTTCATCTGCGACGTGTCGACGTGGTTGAAGAAGATCAGGAATGGCAGCGCCCAGAGCTGGCCCGTCATGGCCGTCAATGTGAGCTCTCCCAAAATCTCGGCCACGTAGGTCAGGAGCATCATGTTGATCACTGGTAGAGAATGGTTGTTAGCTGGGCCCATCCATTTGGTTGATTCTTTAGTCTGAGACACATACTGTGGAAGACGGTATACGGAATCGCAAGCAGGTTTGTCTGGAATGTGTCGAACCCGAGGCCGCGTAGGGACAATGTGAGATATTGCTGGACAGGAGTCATGGGGATCTGGAACGTGAGTCCCAGGATATACAGCGGCCTAATCACCAAGAAGCATGGTCAGCGTAACAGACTTGAAAGAAGCGCGACAACAAGCACGCAGTATTCACCAGAGGTCAAAATCCTTCAAACTCTGCCATAGCAGGCTGGGAGTGATGGCTTGCCGATTGTGCATGCCTCCTTTGCTGGGATCGTCTCGGATCACCCTGTTGACCATGATGATCTCTTCTCTACATCTGGTCAGCAAAACAAGCGAATTTCCTCTCGTAGCTCTGGAGCGTCCCTACCTATGTGTAAACCATCCATTGCGCCCGCGGAGCCAGCTTGCAGTCTGTGTGGGAGATGCAGGCATTAGCCCAAAAGCCAAAATGCCGATGAACAATGTCAAGAGCCCCTAGCATATTTCTTTGCGTCAGCAAACTGCAATCGATATACATAGAGAAGAACGACGTTGTACCTCAATCAGAAACAACCATCGCCATCCAGACTGCTGCTGTACCCCTCTCATGTGGAGGACCCCGTAGGCCAGAAAGCCGGAGGTAATATCGGCCAAGCTCATGGCAGTCCAGAAGAAGCCCAGCCGCAACGACAGCTCGTGATGCTTGTAGAAATACGACAAGTAGAGAATGACCTAGATTGTTGTGTGAGAAAATTTCATGACATGACGGATGGTACTCTCACATCTGGGATGAAACCGCCCTGCAAAACCCCCAACAGACACCGACAGACAAGAAAGGTAGTTCGCCCCTTGAGCCAGAACTGTGTTACGGCGACAAGGGACCACAGGACCATCTGCATGGGGATCCAGCGATCGGGGCCGACCCATTTAGACACCAATTGAGACGGGACCTCAGCGCAGAGGAAGGACAGCTTGAAAATCGTATTACCGAGATTGTAGTCTGGGTAAAGGGGTCAGCTTATCAGGTACCCCCAAAGCTAGGCCTTGTGCCCCAACGAAGTACTCACCATTGGTGTTCAAATGAAGGTCCTTGAGGAAGTCGTCCGTCAAGGCTTGCGTGATGTTGGCGCGATCAAGCTCCAGTGCCATGAACATGATGCAGGCAAAGATCATGATCCGCACATCAATCTTCCGAATCAATCTGTACTCTTCGCCCCAGGTCCATCGAGCAGACGGGTCGAAATGGTGTATGTTCTCCCTTGACAGGCTGTTAGCCGCTGCTCCAATGCGTGGGAGAATACAAAACATGCCAATCTGGTCGGGGCTGGTACTCCCTGGCCATATCCGGGTTATCAAACACGCTTGGCTGTCAAATCAATCAGTCTTCCGTACAGTCGTCCCCAAGAGCGGCGATATTATACTTGAGTTGCGATAGCGTGAGGATCATATGCTTGACCTCTCTGGAACCAAAACCTCTTTTCATGATGCGGGAGACCCAGGGGAGGGGCATCGTTCGGTGACGCGCTCGCTGGATCTGTTTTTTTCTCAGGTGGCTTCAGAAGGGCTTCAGCCTGCTCGTCTAGAGAGATCGAGGAGCAGTTCGAGGCCAGCTCATCGTCCAGGTGTCGATGCCTGCTGCTGCCGACGAATACAGTGGACATGGCTGGATCCGTCAGGCGTCTCTCTCGCTCACCCAGTCAGTCACGTGCAGGCCCGAGGACAGGCTTCTTTCTCTTGCTTTGGAATCAATCTCCTGTTCCGTCTCTACTCTTTGAAATAGATGTCCCGATCATATCATCGTCTGGAGGACTGATTCTTCATCAAGAACTGCATCTTGAAAGGAAGAAGGAACGTGTTGTGGTGGTTTGTGATGGGCAAAGCAGGTGTGGCCATCACGCAAGAGAGGCGCTCGATGGCAAAATACGTCGCTCCGTGCTCCGTGTAACATCTCTTCGTTTGTGCTGGAGATCTGCGTCGGACCGAGTTTGCAAGTCGCTACGTCGAGATGAAGCCCTTGATCAGCAGATGAAGTTGGCAGGATGAAAGAGAGAGTAAAATCCATATGGGCTTTGTATTTACTCAGAATGCAGCAAGAGGGGTACGAGTAGATGCATGTCTCATTGTATTGACAATGACTATCTACTCAGGGACGCGGGAAGCTAAGGAGCCTTTCTTCCAGTGACAGTGTTAGCGCAATTTGACGCGAAACAGCTGAAATTTAGGCGCCGCCCGCCTGGAGGATTAGGCGCCTGAAGGTCAACCGGGTGTCCCGGTCGATCACCCAGTGGACGCTAAGGGACAAATTAGGCGGCTCGGGCAACCCCAGCATTATGTAAGTACCGGTCCAGGGCTGCGAAATAATTCGCATGCAACGTCCTCAATAGGTACTTCTCTATCCTGCTATATCTTCATTTTCAGGGTGCCTTTACCCAGACGTTCTCCACAGGTGATGCGAAAATGTTGCTCGACTCCCTACAGGTGATAAAGGCATCCAAGAGATCTGAGCCTCACAATTCCTGGGCGTGCCCCACGGATGGCCAACCATGTCACAGGGCGTAACTTTTACTATCCTTATTAACCTCCCCTACGTCTTCGAGATCCTCGATCAACACTTCCAAGAACTTCAATCCTCCACCTCACGTCTCTCTTTAGTATTGCAGATCTCGCGTGAACATGAACCGCAACCGACCAAAGAGGGTTCAGGCCCTTCACGGGATAGGGGTCGATAAGATGGGCAACATTGCGGACAAGGTCAAGGCGACGGGGAAACAGTCCCAACAAGGCCCTCTCCCTGACAAGCTGCTACGGCTAGAGAATCTTGACGTCGACATTCCTCCCGATGACATTGTGCAGACTCTGACCTCTGCTGCTGCCACAAACGATGACGACAACAGCTACCTACCGTTCCTCGGCCAGATTGACCTACGGAATGCCGTCGCTGAGCATGTGAGTTCCATGACCCAAGGCGCGGTCAAATACAATGGTGAGGCAAACTGCATCATCACGGCGGGGGGTCTCAGCGGTATACTCAACACCCTTATGGCTACCGTGGAAGAAGGGGATGGTGTTCTCTTGACAGGACCTGTATACGCGGGACTGCTCAATCGTGTCCGGCTCGCTGGGGGAGTCCCACATCTGGTCCCCCTTCATTTTCATCCGGGAGAATCGTGGTCCTTGGACCGGCAGAAGCTGCGAGAAATAGTCGAGTCGCCAGACAACAAGATAACCACGATGCTTCTGATGTCCCCGAGCATGCCGACCGGCGCTTACCTCGACCGGGGAGATTGGTTGCTCGTTGCTGAGCTTTGTGTCAAGCATGATATACTGCTGATATATGACGCGGCCATGGAGCGTCTGCTATTCGACGACTTGCAGGTTATTCACCCAGCATCCCTGCCCGATATGGCGAATCGGACCATAACCGTAGGCTCGGCCTCGAAAGAACTACGCATGATCGGCTGGCGAGTAGGCTGGATTGTCGGTCCCGAGCACATTATGCAGGATATCGGCTTAGTGTCAATGGCCAATGTTGTTGTCCCTGTAGGTATTGCGCAACGAGCTGCGAAGGAGGCCCTTCAAAAGTCCAAGACAACGATTGCCGATTATGTTCACGAACTGCAATGTCGGAGGGATCTGTGCCTCAAGGAACTCGAGGGATTGCCCGTTGGCAAGCCGAGCGGAGGATGGTCGCTGTTGTTGCGCGTCGACACGCTGGGTTGGAGAGCCGATGCTGCCGCTGAAGCACTCCTGGCACAAGGAGCCTGCGTCACCCCGATGGTTGGCTGGGGCTCTGATGAAGAATCTCAGTATATACGGATTGTCTTCTCGAACGAGCCACGGGATAGATTAGCTGGGTTGGGCAAGATAGTCAGGCAGGCATTGCTGAAGTGAGAGAGAGGCAGTCCTAGTAAATGCGGCACTGGGAGAGGGTGCCATCCTTTTCTCTCCCTGGACTGCTCTGATTTGGACAATCCCTGTTTACGATATCTGACAGCAAGGGGGAGATATCGGACAACATTGTACCTTCTGGAATGGTGTGCGACCAGACGGACTTTTGGTGGCCATAAGGACATGCAAGCCACGCACGCAATAATGGGAGGATTGAGCACCGCGGGACTGGATAGGCCCGCAGGAGGCTTAGGGAGGCTAGGCGTTAGCGGATAAGCACCCCGACCCAACGTAGGAGGCGTTGCGGGCATCACTCATGAGGTAGTCATCGTACTGCATCACGTCGTACAAGATCAACTCCCGCTTCCACACAACCAACTTCCTTCCCCTTCAGTACAACGACGTAATAATGCTTTGGTCAGCAGCAACTATCATCTGTACCTAGATCTCAACTCTGCTCGGCATGGGTCCTTCATCGATCTTGGGATGGTTTCAGATCCAGTGAGCATACGACACTGGGACCCGAGAGACAATAACACCATCGCCAATTTGCTTACACCACAAGAGTTAAACTCAGCCTTAACGACAAAGTGAGTTTTCTGCGGATGCTGGGACGTCGCATACTTTTGCTGATAAATCACCACTAGAGAGTCTTGTTTACGTGTAGTAATCATCCTGAGACCCCAAGATCTACACCTGCAACAAGATGTCCGTGTACCTGGAAGAGCTGGGAGCAAACTACGAATCATTGAGTACTCGGTACAGACACAATGACTGAAACACCATCATAAACCCGACTTTCTCCTACGAGCGAGGTTAATCGCCGGGGACGTACGAGCAGTACGAGCAGTACGAGAAGACTGGGTCCGCTCTGGCTCCTCAAACCCTAGTCTCAGGTAGATCCTCGCATCCTCACCCACATCTTCCACCTGTCGCTAACTGGCCTGTTGGGCGCTTACTAACAATCGACACTCGGATCCAGAATGCTGCAAATCGCGCACGACTTCGTCGTTGGAGAAATCCCGAACCCCGAAGCCCGCGGCGCTAGATTGGGTAAAGATATAGACGAATCACGCTTGTCAGGGCGGCAGCAGACAATGCTGTATATATTCCCAAGCATTGGGATGCGATGTCGTGTTCTGTGTACATTGACAACTGTCGACATCGACCTAGAACATCCCTTGTTGCGACAAGCTCTTGAATATATCCTCCAGAGGCTTTGGCGCATCCGACAGTGATATAGGAAAGGACAAGACAAAAGGTGTCAGAGATGGCTGATCTCGAGAGACCCCAAGATGCCTCCTCCTCTTCCACCAGTGTCAACACCCTCGGTTCCCCAGTCGAGTCCAATGTCGACCTGGAAAAAGCAGAGACCATTCACCCAACCTCCACCTCTACTACGGGGGCAGGAGCTACACGGTCGCAAACCGTTGGCCGCGTACGCTCCGTGGCTACTGATGGCTACTCAGTGTACGATGTCGAGGGAGACGAGACTGACCAGGATTCGGCGGAACGTATCAAGACGACCCCCTACGAAGTTCGCTGGGATGGACCAGGCGACAAGGAAAATCCACGCAACTTCAACGTCGCCAGGAAATGGATCATCGTTTTGATCACTTCAGTTGCTTCCCTTTGCGTGTAAGTAGGATGACCGCTCTGTTGTCCCTGCGCTCTGTTACAGCTACTGACTCAGACCTACCAGAACATTTACCTCGTCCGTCTATACCACCACTTATGGGCAGCTCATGAAAGAGTTCCATTGTTCCAGAGAGATTGCCACCCTGGGTTTGTCTCTGTTTGTCGTGGGCTTAGCCTTTGGACCTATGCTGCTGGGCCCGCTATCCGAGTTCTACGGTCGAAGGCCCATTTACATCGTGTCCATGTTCTTCTTCCTCATCTGGATAATCCCCTGCGCCGTGGCCCAGAACATCCAGACTATGATTGTGTGCCGGTTCTTCGACGGCTTCGCGGGCAGTGCGTTCCTCGCCGTGGCCGCAGGGACTGTGGCCGATCTGTTTGAGCCCAAGGATATCGAGTTTCCAATGATGATCTTCACAGCCTCGCCTTTTCTGGGTCCCGCACTTGGGCCGATAATTGGCGGATTGATCAATCAGTTTACCACATGGTATGTTGTTCGTTTTCTCTCTTTTATGGCAACGCTGACTGGAGACCATTGGCTAGGCGATGGACCTTTTACATGCTCCTCATCTGGACCGGCGTCCTACTGGTCCTCGTCATCTTCTTCGTGCCCGAGACCTACCACAAAGTCCTCCTCAAGAAACGCGCTCAGCAGAAGCGCAAGGACACTGGAGATAGCCAGTGGTACGCACCCATTGAGAAACTCGACCGCAGTATCCTCGGCACCGTCATACACTCGTGCTCTGTGCCATTTGAGCTCTTATTCTTTGAGCCCATGTGCCTGCTGCTTTGCATCTACGCTGCCATCCTGTTGGGGATAGTATATTTGTTCTTCGGCGCATTCCCGCTCGTCTTCGGCAACAACCACGGCTTCTCGCTGTACCAGGTTGGGCTGACCTTCATTGGCCTCCTCATCGGCATCACCATCGGTGTCCTGACCGACCCATTCTGGCACAA